CCAGACATCCACTACAAAGGCAACCTATACGTAGCATCACACCAGTCCGGCAGTCCCAATTGACTAATTTCCCATTATCACCGCCCCAACCCGTTGGTAAAGTTTGTCATTGTGGTTTCTTATTATTATTGTGCCCAATCTAATTGAGTTTTTCAATTAATCCTTTGGTTACCCCTTTTATTAAATATGTAGCTTTTACCATGGAGAAATCTTGATAAAAAGGGTCAAAACAACTCCAAACGTTCAAGGGAATAAAGATAATTCATCAAATGCGCGCACCTACATTTAACTTTAACTCGACTACACCAGTACTGTCACAACAATCTCTTCCGGTAAACCATTTTAAGCCTAGCTTCAGATCTAGGGAAAGTGAAATTAACGAAGTTTTTTTTTTAAATCGACACCCCCCTAATGCAAAATTCTTGCTTCGCCACTAAGGAGACATATGAATAATACTAAAGGAGCATCTGCAGCTTGGACGTGATTCGTCGTCGGTTCACGGCAAGCCAACCAAGGTCTCCCAATTGAGGATTCTGGACAAAAGTATTTGCATAGAAGTTTAGCATCCAAATTAGTGCGAGGGAAAGCATACTCACTATACATATGAAGAATATTTGTTGTATGTAAGGGAGGGAATCAGTCGATTCGTTATACACTCCGATTCAAATCGATGTAACACCGAATCAAAATCAAAGAAAAATTGAAAGATCAAAATCACACTAGAAGTCTATTTGTTTGTGCAAAATCAGTTTCGGTCCACTTTCTAAAAGACAGAACAAATGAACTCGTTTGGTTGTAAGCTCGTCAATGATTTCCGACTTGAATTATTTAACGGGGATTAATGTTTGTTTCGAGTTTTCAGTTTTTTTTTTCTTTTGTGGTTAATGGTTCAATAAGACGAGCCGAATCAAAAGGATCCGGATAGTACAACAACACTTGTTATACTAACAACAAGGGTATAAGAGTAAAATAGCAATAAATAACATATTATGAATAAATAAATAAACAAAATCTAAATACCTAAACGTGTTTTATCTCCCTGTCTCTCCAGCAACAGCGGCGGCCGAATCTGTACCTCCGAACAACAATTTTCTCCGGCGCCAATCCTCTCCCATCGCCGTGCCAATCCGCATCACTCCCATCGCCGGCGCCATCAGGAGCAAAACGCTCCGACGCGGCCTCCCTGGGCGGCGGCGCCGTCCGCGCAGTTGGAAATCTCCGTCGCGGTCACGTCTCTCCGCCTCGTTCTTCTTCATCGACGGCAAATCATGGCTGAGATGGCAGTGGTCTCCGAACAAGCTCTCTCTTCTTCCAATCCCATCCATCGAGGTCGATTCGGAGAAAATTGTCCTGCGATTGAGGAGCGTCGCGACGGTGGAGCGAAGGCGGAGGAGGAGGAAGATGTGGCGGCGCTTCGTCGTCCTCCTCCTTTCTCGCGAGAGGCTTGCGCGATCGTCGGATTGATCGGGGATTAAGGAAGGAGTGGCGGAGATGAACGGCGAGATGAACGCCAATCAACAGAAAAACACAGCACCGCATATTTCGCCGCCGCCGACAACTGCTCCACCCTCGTCGCCCTCCCTTCGACGCGCTTCTAAACAGAAGGAAGTCCATCAGCTTCCACTTCTTGTCCCGCCTTTTCGACGAAAACGAAATCGCCGACAGGAACGCCGCCGCGTATGACTGCTTCTCGCCGCTGGCGACAGGGTTGAATTCGGAATTGCAGTCGACCTGCTCCTGCTCCAACATCACTTCGGAGATTCTCATCGGCGACAGCGACCTGCTGGTCCCCCGACGGCCGGAAACAGAGCCGAAATTGGAATCTGAATTCTGTCCCGAATAACCGCCGATCGCTCCTCTCCGTCCTCTTCCCTGTTTTTCCTCTGCATCTCGCTTGCGATTCTCTTCAAGGCCTCTCCATTCTTCCTTTGGTTTTGTTGACCTTGTACACATCTCTCCTACACGTCTAGAGACCACAGACGCTTTCTTTTATCAAGATCTGTGAATTCCTCATTGTTAAGGATCAGGAGAGTGAGCGAGAGAGAAAGAGAGAGAGAGATATTTTGGGTTGGGAGTTTGGAATGCAATTGGTTTGCAAGGTTTATCATTTGTTTAATAACTGCATAGGCTTTGTATATAGGGCAATATGCTTTCTTCCCCCAGTTTAGTTTTTGGATTTCAAATGGAACCAACCACAAATATTGCATAAGTATACCACAAACTTTTTAATACAAACAACAAACACATTAAAATAAACAAAAAAGAAACATACCATAAACCTTCTAATGCATATCATAAATCTCCTAAAACATACAAAAAACACACACAAAGCAAACCACAAACATTTCTAAAGCAAACCAGAAACACAATAAAGCAAACCAGAAACCTCCTAATGCATACCACAAATCTCCTAAAACAAACCACAAACCTCACAAAGCAAACCACAACATTTGCGAAAGCACACCAGAAACCTTCTAATGCAAACAAAAAACGTCCTAATGCAGACCACAAATATATTAAAACAAACCAGAAACATCGCAAAACAAACCACAAAAGATTCGAAAGCACACCAGAAACTTCTTAATACAAACCAGAAACCTTCTAATGCATACCACAAATCTCCTAAAACAAACCACAAACCTCACAAAGCAAACCACAACATTTGCGAAGAACACCGGAAACCTCTTAATGCAAACCACAAACACAGTAAATCAAACCACAAAAAAGCAAACCATAAACGTCCTAATGCAGACCTCAAATATATTAGAACAAACCAGAAACCCCTCAATGCAAAACCACAAAGTTTTTGAAAGCAAACCAAAAGCTTCTCAATGCAAACCACAAACACGATAAAGCAAACCAGAAACTTCTTAATGCAAACCACAAACACGATAAAGCAAACCACAAAAGACATACAAAAATATGAGAAACCAAACCATAAATCTCACAATGCAGACCATAACATCCGGTGGTCGTTGGCCGGAAGACCGTTGACCGGTCAACGAAACCCGTTGACCAAACTCCGATGACCGTCAGTGAGTAGATTCCGGCGCCGATGGGCATATTCCGGCCACAATGACTAGATTCCGACGCCGGTAAGCATATTCCGACCACGGTGAGCATATTCCGGCGACGGTGGCATATTCCGATAAAAAATAGCATATTCCGACGACAAAAAAGCATATTCCGGTGGCCGGCGACCAGATTCCGGCGACCGATGGCCGAATTCCGGCGACCAAAATTTTGGGCCGAAAAATAATTTTTTTTTTATTTTTCCTATATTTTTTTAGTTTAATTTAATTTTTTATTATTATTTAAACAGATTTTTCATAATGACAATTATACCCCTGCTTTGATTTTACACTAGGTCAACTCATCTAATAAAAAGTCATCACAACCCTACCTTCCTATTGGTTGGAGACTAGTATTGTTACAATAACAACACAAGGAGTGTTGTCATAGTAACTAGTCCCGAATCAAAATCCCATCCCTGTTTCTAACCAAGGCCACTGCCGGCATTCCAACACGCCGCCATGGAGTTTGGCAGTGGTAGATCCCGGAAGTATATTATTATGCTATTTATTGTAATGGACCATGCACACGTGCCTTTGCACGGAGGTGGAGGATGAGGTTGTGATTACCATTAAATCATGTCATGTTTAGTCACTAGAAAAAATTAATATTAATTTATATTATAGAATTAATATATTTGTTTGACCCGAACTTTTTTCATATTTAACATTCTGGCTAATTCTTTTGGTATTTTATATTGTAGCTCGAACTAAGCCAAACATGAGAGTTGATCTTTAGTTTTGACGATTGATAGGACAAAAGCGTAATGCTTCAATTCCTATCTCGTAGTAAACTGGGAAGTCCGGGTATCGTCTCTCAGGGACTGGTACAACCTTATATTTTACCAATTTTATAGAGCAAATTAACTACAAGTGAAAATAGTTTAATGTGACTAATTTCTAAAAGCAAAATAAACTAAACAAATTAAGCAAATGAAAACTATCAGGAGAAATCAACGAAGAAAGCTCTGGGAGAAACACCGGAATTCACTACCTATTCTATCCAAATTAATTTACATATTCTAATCAGTTTAATCGAACTCTCTACAGCCAGAATATCACGATTGTGCTAGCTATCCCTGTCGAAAATTACTAAGTACTAAACAATTAAATCAAATCCTACTATCATAGCTCAATAAGTTAAATATTTAGCCTGAAGACCGATATCCCAACCAAGACCGCATAGTATCTTATTTAATCCACTATCGCTTCGATAAGTTACTATGTCACATGAAATAGGTTCAGTTATTAGGGTTTCACTGTCGCTAATAACCTAATTAACAACAAATCAATATATTGGTGGCCAGTCAACACAAAGCATTAAGCAATTCCATATAATATAGATTGGAAGAAGAGAATTATGAATCAATCCATCAAGTATAGAAATAGCTACATCCTATAGTGTTTCCCCTAGCAATTGGGGTTTAGTTCATGACGAAAATAAAACACACAATCATGTTCATAATCTCATAATACGAATAAAAAGAAAGAGATTATGGAGGAATTCGAACATCCAAATTGAATTTTTCTCCCTAAGAAATCCGGTCCGCTGCTCTCTCCGCGCTCTGCCCTCCGTGTCCCTGGCTCTCGATCGCCGCCAAGCGCTACTGCTTCCTCCAATTATTTCCTTCGCCCTAAAAAATTGCTTCCCCCAGTAAATCTCCAGGTCCAATTCTCCTCCCCAAATAATTTCCAACTCACTAAAACACAAAGGAGATGGGGCAAATAATTCACCTTAATTACCCCGTGCTATGCTCTCTCGGCGCCAAGAAAAATGGGCTTGTGTGGCCCATTGTTGATTTGTCCAGCGAAAATTGGTAGCCGCACCTTTCAAGCCCAATTCGTAATGTGCTTTAGCTTAAGAGTAAAACCCCAACTTAAGCCTGTTTACTTTTATTTCTGTTTTCTGTTTTTGAGAAAACAGATGTTGCAAACAGGTGAAAACAACATTTTGTCGTTTCCGAAAACAGCAGGAAGTTGCCACTTTATGTTTTCATAGTTGGAAACGAATAGAAAACGGAATGAAAAGTAAACAAGATTTCTCGTTTTGGTTGCCAAATTTATGACATTAAAACAGAAAACAGGAAACGAAAATGAAAGTGAACAGGGCCTAAGTCTGCTCTCAATGTTGTTCATGGGACACCGATCTACTTTTTGCTTGTACTCTTTTCCTTGTTTGTCTGTGCAATTTTCTCCTTTTTCTTGCTTTCTTCACCTATAATACATCAAACTCATGACACTAGGCAGTAATGGTTTTTCAACAATTCTCTGGTTAACGAGCCCTAAAATAGCACCAGTCGGCTTAAATATATCATGAGATAGTCACATAAAGATCAAGAATCCAATATACTAAAGTCGATTATCAACGATCAATACCGTTGACTAACGGTCAACCCGCCACATTACTGCCCAATCAACATAAATAAACTTAAAAAATTCATACATTCCACACAATTTCTAAAAATTATTATAATTAAATTAAAAAATTAAAAAAATAGAAAAACAAAAAATGGAAAAAGGTTCTTTATATTAGGTTAATATGGATATTTTTCTTCTCTTTTGGAGTTTTTTATGATTTGAGTTTTTTGTTAGTTTCGGTTATATTGGTGTGGTATTTTTTAAATATGAGACTTGTGTTTTAGTTTAGGTATTTTGAGGGTCTTGTCCTTGGGTTTGGTTGTGGTATTTTCTCAAATACGTTCCATTTGGTATTTTTTATAGAAACATGTACTCAGCTTTATTAATCAAATAAAGCTGTTACATCATCCAGTCTAAACTGTTCAAACAGAAAAATCGGTGGCCGATCAACCACACTTTCGTCACACCCCATCTAGTCTCCGAATGTGCAATTATATGCGCAACATTGTTTGCATCCCTGCTTACATATCTCACCATTCCTCGACCCGCTTCCACCAGCAAGCGACGAGTGTTACGACAACTAATGACCAGCTCCGTTTGAATAGAATCAGCTTCCATGATCGCTTTAACTACTCTAAGACAGTCTAGCACCAATACCGGCCTCCCTAATTGATGTTGTCAAGCTAACTGCATCGGTTAATCATCGTTTGACTGATTTCCGCTATCTCCTTTTCAATTCTTTGTAATTCCTTATCTATTAAATACTACCTAAGCCAAAAAAAAACCTTTAGCTACGCAAGCTACAAATTATATTTTTCGTAGCTATACAATTCAACTACCAAAATCTTATACTTTAGCCACAAAAAAATCTGTAGCTGTATGTGCATTTTCTTGTAGTGCATATACGCTTTCCTCTGCAGTTCACGATTAACGTGCCCAAGGCAATCGTTCCAATCCACGTAGCATGGTAGCGGTTAGGGAGGAAGCGAAACCCGAGTGACTTTCCCACAAAAGAGTTTTCAAACTAAATTACCTTTGCTTTCTTTCATTTCAATTAGCAAACCTTTAAACCAAATTTTTATCATTAGATAATGACTTCAACAACCGAAGTAGGGGTAGACGGACCGGCCCGGGTCGATATCTAAATACTTGCCCTATACTGCACCCGATTAGAGTTTAAAAACTTGGGCTCTAATTGGGGTTTAATTGTGGTGTAGTTTCGTGCGAGTCAAGTTTTTGGCGCCATTGCCGGGGAGCAACGATTTGTTATTTAGAAAAATTTGTTGGTTGTTCTTCAGAAAAAACTCGTCTTCTGTCTCTCTCATTTACTCCTTCGCAATCAAGAACACCAAATGCAAAAAGAAAGAAAAAAGAGGAGGAATATCGGAATTGAAGATTCACAAACAAATACTAAAACATAAAAGATGCAAACTCGACTCACCTAGATCTGTCCCCTCTTTGACAATATGGAGCGTCATCTATTTTGAGGCCGAGAAAAGAAAGAACAGAGGGAAGGAGAAGCTTGAGAGAAGAAGGATTTGGAGCGTCACCGAATTTGAGGTGAGAGGCTCCAATTTTTCTTCGTCGATTGTTGGAGGAAAAAAATTAAGAACAATAGAAGAAATGAGATTTAGATCTGGAAAAAGGAGTTTGGAAGAGAGAAAGGAAGAGTGAAAGAAAAAAGAGAGAGGAAGAGAGAATTCTATTTTTCTCTTTCCTCCATTAAAAGACAGCATATAAATGCTGGAAAAAATAAAAATAAAAGAAATAAAATTTCAAAAATCAGACAAAAATGCCCCTCTCCACTCCGCGTGCAGCCCAACCACACGATGGTTCCGCCCCTAGATCTACGGTCCCGATTTAATTACTGTCAGCTCAGTAATCATTGGTTACTGGCTCTATCGTATGTCGGGTATACCCCTTTCTCCAGGCCTGTTCTTGTTGTTGTTTGTTTCCGTGTAGCTATGTCTTTGTAAGTTACTTAAAAAAAAAAAAACTAGATAGGGTAGGGTAGGGTGCATTTGTGCTATGTTTATTTTTGTTAGAGTTTGTATAATGTATGGCATTTCATCACGTATAAAGTCACCATTAAAATTAACACAAATGCTTAAAACATATAACACCATACCTAAGTCACAACACATATCTAAGTTACCACACCAAAAGATGGTAATTGCACTACCTACAACACATACCTACAACATCTAAACCCAAATGATCATGGCCGCATAATGACCTTAGCGACAAGAATTCAGTTTTTCAATGACGGGGAATAGGTTGTCACAATTAAATATTTTCTGGACAAAACATTACAGACGACTTTTTTTATGCATAAAAAACTCTCTCGCCGACTTTTTTTGATGAAATGTACAATTAGCTACAAAGATTCTTGTTTTTCTAGCAAGGTAAATACTTTGTCACAAATACATTAATTCTTGATTAAATGTTACTAACGAAAGGATTTTCTCCGTTGCAAAGTTGGCACCAAATGTTACCTCCAAAGAATGAACTTAGTGACGAGGATTCAGATTTTACCGACGAGGAAAAAGCCTTCGTCACAAATACAGTTTATTGCGACGAAACATTACCGACGACCAAATTATGGTGTTGTTTGCTAATGGGATTTGGTTATTGTATTTGGTCTCCCAATACAAACCATCATGTTTTTTGTCCAAAGCCATTGTTTGTTAAGGTAGGCAAATCCGTGGGGCCCACAGATTTGGTCAACTTTTTTAGCTCCAAATCCGTGGACCCCACGTATTTTGTAAATACAAATTTTCATTTGGTATTTTCAAATACCACATTATGGAAGGCAAATTTTTGAGAACCAAATGAACTAAATCCATGATAAAAATTCAACTAAACAAACAATGTTATCTTTCAAATACAAAATGCAACAAATCCTTCATAAATCTTTCAAAACTCAAAACCTTCATTTTCAAATCCAACAAGCAAACGAGCCTATATATATATATATATATATATATATATATATATATATATATATATATATATATATATATATATATAACAAAAATTAGTACTCAACACATACAATCCCATTCGTCACCAAATCTGATGAACCCCAAGGTAGAGTTTTAGGATCAGAATTACACAACCAAGAGGTCTAGAACCTCAGATTGCCTTTCTCGAACAAGAACACTGAAAACATGGTTGATTTCGAGTTTGGTATGGAACTTTCGTGCACCTTTCACAATGGGAAAGAAGCTTGATAAGTATAAGTCGTTGCTTGGCCACAAATCACAACTAGGGTGTCTACCTAATTGATACAAGCTCAAGACCGAGCCCAAAAACCGTAGGTCAATCCCCAGAATCCTCAAGCAAGAAGCTATAGAGAAAACTCTCGGTTTATTCAATTGAACTCAAAAACTAACTATTACAACGGAAACAATAAACTTAAATAGGCTTGGCTAGGTTAATCCTCTTCCAAGCAAGTCTTAGTTACGACCCAAAACGAGAAAGAATCCAAAATCAACACTGAAAAGGAAATTGTAACAAAACATCGAGCTAGTCCTAATCCGATAAGGATTCGGATTCCTCGGCAACAATCATGGCTTCAAACGATCGTTGGAGCTCTCTCGTTCTAAAGTTTCCAGACTTCATTTCCTTCATCCAACCCCACGATGTTGTAGTAGAAAATACACACTTCCATGTGCTACAAACCTGTCAACTCGAATCTTGCCCTTACTCTTCGAATTAAAGCTCAAAGTGGCCTCCCCGAACTCGGTTCCAGACTTAAACGAATCTGGCAATTTGTGTCGTGTTGAGGTAGCAACTGGATCGACTTGGAAACCAACCTTCTGGCCATCCGCGCGAGCTCCAAAGCATATCAATGGAAAGAGAAACTCTTCCTCTTCAAAACCAGACCAAGAAGTCGAATTTTCATTAAGCACACACAAAGTTGCATATGTTCCAAGTTGGTACCTTAAATCGTCAAAATCACTTAGGCAGTCTTTGTGCGTTGACCTCGATCTTTTGACGATCAATCCTGAATGAATTAGGGACGAATTCAGGATTGTATCAAAATCTCTAATTTTCGCCGTCGATACCAAAGAAACAAGAAAACCCCCAATGAAAACAATGCTAAATCTCGAGAATCACTAATAAGTAAAAATCAAAGAACACTACTAACATGGAAAAAACTACTGATCTAAAGAAACAATATTATATTTGGTTGCTACTGAAACTAAACTACTACTCTTGAAAATCAATACTAATCTAGATATGAACAAGTAGTAGGCAAAGAAGAAAAAGCCTACATCTAGAGTCCTGAACCAACCCAAAGGCTCCATAAAAGAACTTCAACCACTCGAACGGCTCCACCCGAAGGCCTCCAAACATGAAAGAGAGCGGCGGAGTCAAAGGCGACACAGACGAATCCGATGCAGACAATAACACAAGGGAAGCCATTGCAGACCACTGCGACGTAAGCGACAACTACGAATGCGGGGAGGGCGGAGGCGGCAACGACAAGGTCGTCAACTGCTCTGGTGGATTGCTCTGGTAGCGAGACAGAGAGAGAGAGGCAAAATAAAAGGAAAAAGAAAGAACTAGGGAGAGTGGGAAGGAGAAGGTTGAAATTCTCCCAAAAAAATCTCACTCCAGGCTAGGATCACGTGTATCCTTATCCAAAATGCCCTTCCAGCAAAACCACCGTTCGATTGAAGGAAATATGAAAGGAAGGAGATGAGAGGAGTTATTACGGTGCTACTATGGTTAGCATCCCATGCCATCCCTGGTTTTCTTTGTGGTTAGACTTAATTTTAAGATTAATTGATGAAGTGGTGAATTTTAGTATATGTGCTTTTTGTACCTTGGTTTCTCATTTTCAATTAGTTAGTAGTAGACTCATTACAATCATGTATGATTCCGATAGTTTCGGATTTAAAAACATATATATGTCCTTACATTATTTTAAGAAAAAAATATTGTCATATCTAAAAAATAATATTTTATTGGTATGAAACGGTTGAATCATAGATGTATCACAAAATACCCTAATTATAAATTAATCCGATAAGATTTTTCAATCGTTGGTTTAAATACAATGACATATAAAACTCTATACGTAATAATTAATATCAATATTATACCTATGTCCTACTTCATGTTTATTACCAGCTTCCTTCCGTTACTTGCGCTTCAGAATTTGACACTTTCAATTAATAATATTTTATTGGTATGAAACCCTACATTATTAGCCTCTCTCTCTATATATATCAATTGTTATACCTTGTTCATTCCGCCGGCAGGAACGTGTCTCTTCCGATGGAGGCGGATTACTCGCAGCTGCTGGAGGACATAGTAGTGAAGATAGCGAGGGAGCATTTCGACACGACCTCACAGTTGGTTTCCTTCTCCGCAGTTTGCAAATCTTGGAGATCCATTGCCCTCCGACCCCGCAATTACAAGCACGGCCGCTCTCTCCCAGGCCTCCTCGTCGCCGATGGGGAATCCGACGAACATGAGTTTTCTCCCGTCACAATGTTCCACACGTTTGTCACTACTCCGATTAACGACATATTTGGTGATGAAATATTTTGCAGCTCCCCTTCTCGTCTTCCTCCAACTCCAGGAAGAAGCCAGCCGCTGCCGCGCGTAACGATCCCTTTAGGTCCCAATTTTCCCACTGACGATCCTAGAGAAAGACGGAGGAACAATCCGTGCGTGGGCTCCAAAGACGGGTGGGTCCTAGTAATTCACCCACGCCCGGTCAGATTACACCTCCTCAACCCAATCACACGCGCTTCCATCCCTCTCCCCATCCTCCGGCCGAACGTTCCCAATTACTGGGAGGCCTCTTTCAACCGTCGGCCGTCTGACTTCATCGCGAGAGCCGTAATCTCTTCTTCTCCCGACGACCACCGCAAAAACTGCTATGTCTTCCTAATGCTAAGCCACAGCATTGACCCTGGGCTGGCGTGGTGCAAGGTCAATCCAGCTCATGGAGCTGCAGGAAGTTGGAATTTCACAAAGATGCCGACAAATTATTTCTCCACCATGGACGCCACCTTCTTTGGAGGTAGACTTTATATTTCCAAGGGCTATGATTCTGTCTACGTTCTTGATGCACCTACTGCTACTTGTTGGAGGCAAATCCCATTCTCTTCCGTGATGGCGTCACTCGTGGAGGACGACCGCCACTACTATCGCACCTTTTTCCACTTGTCCCACCTCAGCGGTCGCCTCCTCGTCATCTTGCGCTGTTTCGTCGAGAATGATCGTAACCACGTCACCTTCCACGTATTCAGATTAGTATTACCTGAAAGAGATCATGGCGGCCGTGATTATGATTGGGAAGAAGTGAATAGTTTGGAAGGAAATGCTCTCTTCTTGGGTTACTCCCATGAGTCCATCTGCCTGCCTGCTAGCTGGGGCGACCGCATCTATTTTGCGTTTTCTTTCTATTACGGCTATTTTGATCTAGAGTACGCCGACGACTTTGGTCCGGCCAATTGGTACCGGAATGATTGTGGCGTCT